ACGTTGGAGGAATGTAAAATAACACAGGACTTGAAGGGCAAATGGGCGAGAGGAAAACAAGTAAGAAATCTTAAAATGAACAAATAAAACTTTAAAAAAAAATTACACGTAAAATAATAATATGGGAATTTAACGATCAACCAATCCAGACCGGATCGAGTTATCGTAAACAACGAGAAGAAAACACGTCCGTTGGATTTAGCTGTTCTGGCAGAATAATGACTTTTTGCTGTATTTTTTTTTTTTTTAATAATGTTCACCTTATGCAAGAGCCAAGAAGCAATGAAAGTAGAAGGTTACTGACGGAGGTCGATGTTTGAGCGGCAAGAGTAAGAAGAAGCGCGGTTTATAAGGATATGTAGGAAATATAACGGTTAACCCCAAGCTTGACGATGATAAAATTCTAGTGGTCGGGAAAGCACCTTTTCGGGAGTCAGTCCCTTAGAAAATATGTCCACGGAACTTCTGTTTTATTAATGGAATACGATATGAATAGGGATGGTTCGATCTCAGTGTAGTGGCATGGCGGAGCTTAGCTCTGCAGGTTAGAATTGATGAAACTAAGGAATATAGCTCGTCTTGGACATTTGTCACGGAAATAGCGAGTAGCGAAAAGTTTCGTCTGTGGAAAAAAAGATCTTGTGGAGCTGAAAATAAACCGTTAACCACACGGCTGCGTAGGCGATTTTAAACTCTGTCAAAACTGGAAAATGAAATCGAAAAGAATTAAAAAGAGTGACATGTAACTAAACCTCTCAAGAAGACAGAAAAAATATGGTGTCATGATGGTGCCAAATTGAGCGTTGGAATAACATTTTTTTTTTACTATGTGCCGTTTCTATTCAGTACGTAAATGATCTTGGATCTCTACAACTTCCTATGATTGGTAACTCTTAGTAGGGTATTTATCCTCTTTTCCCTCCAGACTCTGCTCCACCATCTGTTTACGCAAGCGTCTTATAAAGCGCAATCTCTCTTCCCCTACCTTCCATCTTGCCTTCGCTATGCCATGTGATTGTCAAAATTTCCAAACATTATTTCTTCATTATATGTCTTAGAACCTTCAACTGTCTCTTTCTGATTCTGTGTATAATCGTCTTTTTTTGTATTTGCCTTATCCTTAAAACATCCACATTTTTCACACATTACGTAAATAATATTATCTGTGTTCTGCAGCCTCTGTTGCCACAAGTTTCTTCATCATCTGTGAAGACTTTGTCCAGTATACATTGCAATATAGAAAGTCTAATATCCACAAAATCCTGTCAAAATGCGTTTCATTAAACTGCAAAATACAGAATACAGCAATCCAGGAAACAGATAAAATACTCACGTGGGTGCTTGACCGACTGGTTGTCTAATCCGCAAGGCAGTTTGACGTTATGTTTTAGTGAGTTTAGGCTTATTATTACTACTGTTATTTTTTTCCTTTGATTTCTGTTGCACGCACATTTCCTTCTGGGTCCCAACCAGAGACCTAAGGTCATAAATGTCATCATGACATTTTCTTAAGATAACATCAAATACATTTTACAGAGATAAAGCTCTTCGTAATGTGTGAGTACTAATCTTTTTTTTATTTCTTTACGGTATGGACTATCCCTTCAATGAGTCTATCGGAACATTTTCCACTCAATGCGTGCATTCCAACTTATAACTAAAATTATTGATGTCCTCATGCGCCATTTTCTTTTTAGATTTCGACGTTAAGATCCTTGTATTATTATTATTATTATTATTATTATTATTATCATTATTATTATTATTATTATTACCTTTGACGATTCGTTTATTTTAATCTCTCACGGGGCCGTAACCCGAGACCTGCTTTGCGGCAAATTTGTTAATATACGTTTTTTGATTGTGAACATTCTAATATCATGTGGCACTGAACAAGTGTTGTCTGTATACTTTCTTTTCATTCTGAGTAGTGGGCTGTTCTAAATGGCGCAATATTTTAATGACTTGTAAATATGGACTGCCAGGGAAGATATCAATGCATTTTTTCAACTTTTCTGATGGTACCCAGGTCTTATTATTTTAAGAGTAACAATGGATTTAAGGTACCACACATGTTCAGGTTTACTTTTAAGCTCTGTCTTTACTTTGTTACCTTCCTTAACGGATATATTTTTATCCGATGTCACTGTCATACTTACACGATTGTACATTCTCTTTTTAGCCATTAATCGCCGTCTTTAAATTATCGTTTATACGGACAAACATATATAAATTAATAAATTTATATATGTTTGTCCGTATAAACGATAATTTGCTTTTAAATTAATGTTCAGCCAATATAAGACCCAAGACTCACCCAATATCTGGGCTTTCTATGTGGTGATGTATGAACGTAAGAAAGAGCAACAAGTGAATTATATGGGCTATGTAAGAAAGATAACGGTTAAATCTAGACTTGTAGTGGTTAAGAATATAATTATTGGAGAAACTGCTGAGAGTCTGTTCAACGATGCAACAGTTCTTGAGAAGAAACTATTGGGATGGAACTTCTTACTAATGAAATATGAAGGGAATGGCAATGATTCACCCATGTGTACGTGGCATGGTGAGTCCCAAGTGTAAATGTCGTGTGTTGAGCTCGTGTGTCGTGTAGCTCGTCAGAACCAATTCCATGAAATTAGAGACATTGCCGCGAGGGGCTCGCAAAGTTTCGTCTGTGGGAAAAGCGTTGTAGGGCGTAAAAATAATACAGGCATGTTAGAACAAGGCAGCTACAAACCCAGATATGGGAGCAATACTCCATTTTAGGTTTGATCTGGTTTTGTAAAGACATAGCATAGCAGGGGGTGTCAGATACTTACAGGTGCAGTATAATGAACCAAATATGTTCCCGTATTTTTAGAAAGAGCTCGGCTTTATGTATTCCACTCGAGGTCTGGGGAGAGCTTCAATCACGATGGACGTTCAAGTCCAGGAGACTCCTTGTAAGAGCACGTATCAATTATGATAGGTTAAATTTCAGAATCTGCTCGTTGGTGATGTTTGGTTTGGGCCTGAATAGTGAATATGACTGATTCAATGTTTATTATTATTATTATTATTATTATTAGTAGTAGTAGTAGTAGTATTGATTCATTGATTGAGGGAGAGCGTAGTAATACTGGGATAAAAATATACGAATTCCAATATACCTATTATGCCACCTACTCTGATAAATATTTACCGGCCACATGGCTTACACCCAAATGTACGGTATATAGTGACAGAATTCGGTAAAAATGGAATCCCCATTCCGGTGGTGCCCAGTTTGAAATACCTTTAGGTCAAGTAAGCCAGTCGACTCAGGCTGTCTGCAATTGAAGTTGTTCCCATATATTTAAGTGAAACTTCCACTTTACCTTGTCTACCTCATTATTCAAACTTGAAAATAAAACTCCCGACACACACGCTATATAGACTGCCTCTAACCCCGTTCATGAATAGTATGAAACAATCTACACGAACTTATCTAACTGGTTAAGATCAACAACTGACAATTAATTATGTGATACTGAGAAGGGTATTTACTGTAGCGCATATTAATTAATCAAACAAAACATGAAGATGTTAACACTTCCAATCCGTTAAGATCAAGTGCCAGGTCTGTTGCCTTGATTTTTTAAAGCTTTCTCCGTCTTCAATAGAATGCATAACTCACACGACTGTATTATTTCATTCACTGTGATTTTCACTTCTCAATTGTAGCAATCTCGTGTGGATTCTTGCTTCCTAGTCAACTTCGATCTTTAGAAATTTAAATACGATATCAATCTTTAAATTATTCGGACTGTTGTCCTCATTTTTGTCTCCATATTTATTATAATGTTTCTGCTGTTGTACGCTCCTGCCTTCTTCAGGTGGTTGTAATGTCGAAATGAACCCTTTTGTTTCGCTCACTGGGGTAGACTGTTCTAGTTCCACTTGCCATGTTTAATGGATATCAGTTATCTCCTGTTAATACCCCTCACCAAGTTCTCCTCATGGCACAGTGGATAAGGGTATTGGTTAGATCCAGTGACAGGACTCAAAAGAGTGTGAGTTCAATTCCTGGTTAAGGCAGTGGAGAACTTGGAGAGGGGAGATAACTGATAACTGACATCCATTAAACATAGCACGTGGAACTAGAACAGTCTACCCCAATGAGCGAAATAAAGGGTTCAGTTCGACATTCCAACCACCTGAAGAAGACCAGAGCGTACAACGTCCGAAACGTCGTAATAAATATGGCGACAAAGATGCGGACAATAGTCCGAATAATGTAAATAGTGTACATAATTAATACCTCATCTCAGAAGTATAGACAGATGCGATATCAATCGTTATCTTTTGTTTTCTTAATTTCTATTCGTTTATTACTCTCATTAATATTGTTTTTTTCTTCTCATATTCATTCACACTCAATAATTCCTTACTTAATTTATGTATTTAGTGGCTTTATTGCCTTGCTTGAATTGATATAAAAGCTAATGGAGTATTTTCCCGTTTTTTTTTTAAATTGAATGACTGCCAGTCAAATGTAGATTATCCAGCCAAACCTGCTATTTAACGCACAGATAACGAGAAAGAGAGGTACTCATAATGCCAAATATGAAAGTGAACCCAACAGACAAGTCCGGAATTTAACATCGGCGCGCCGATTCCAATTTTCGCAATATCCCTGACATTATCTGCATAATTACCAGTGTCAGACAAGATGCTAACAGAATGTTTAAGCGATAATCGATGTTTTATTTTAATGGTTAATTTTAAATTAAATTTTCTAATTTGTTTATTGTGCAATAAATTACTCCGCCCACTGCAAAGCACTCATAGCGGTTCAGCTCTTCGGGAACAAGCCTCACACTCTGCTTATTCTAAAAATCTCTCCTCATTGACGTGACATCTCCTGAGTCCTAAACGTGGCGTTTGTTAAATATGTATTCCAAACGTAAATGATTGTTTGCATTATTTTATGCGGTGCATCGCTTCTGATTTTCATCGTTTAATATCCTCTTTTCATC